AGTGCTGTGGCATCACTGCCCACAGCAACCTCCAACTCTGGGCTTAAGCGATTCTCTTGCCTCAGCCTCCCAAGCAGCCGGGACCACAGGTGCCCGCCACAACGTCTGGCTATTTTTTGGTTGTAGTTGTCATTGTTGTTTGGCAGGCCCAGGCTGGATTTGAACCCACCAGCCCTGGTGTATGTGGCTGGAGCCTTAGCGGTTTGAGCTACAGGGGCTGAGCCCAGATCCTAGTTTTATCCCCCACAAGCTGTGTGACCTTGGGCCAATTGTTAATTTCTTGAAGTTGCAAGTTTCTCATCTGTGAAAGTCCCTCAGAGAGTTAGTGGTATGAAGAACAGTAGCATCTACCTTATATGGGTGGGTGAGGATTACCTGAGTTAACAGTATTGAAAGGCTTAGAACGCACTAAATACCTAATGATTGTTAGCTCTTCTCACATCACAAAATTTTTTCCAAACCACCTTGCTTAATAAGATATTCTCCAAAGACAGGAGAGAGAACCTCTCCTACTCAATATATTAATACTGAAGCACTCTACCCTTCTCAACACGCATTTACGCAATATTACCCTGTGGTTTATCTTTTCTGTAGACTGATAAGCTAAGTTATTGGGAGAGGGATACTCTGACTTTGTAAAAGTTTGGGCGACATTCTTTGCCAAATTTGGTACTTTCCTACCTGCTCTAACAAACTGCCTCTTTTTGTCCCACCCTTTCCACCAGTGCACTGTAGGAAAAGGGAGCCCTCTTGAGGCCATATGTGCATTACAACAGATTTCCCTTGGGAAATCCAACTTGTCAAACCAAGTTGGAATTTACTTACATTTGAAATGAATTTTAAACTGTTTTTAAAGGTAGCTATCCCATTCTTTCTTCTTCCCGGGTCTTTTCTCACACCCTGTTCCTTGGTCATGTCCTTCCCCTATTATCTTCTCAACTTATCAAGCTTGGTTGCTTCTCCGGGATCCTAGTGGCAGAACCGAAAATCCAGAAAGACAGTGAGAGTTCTTCTCAGCTCCTGAGGGCTCAGCTGAGGAATCCTCCCTGCTCAGGAACTTTCCAGATAAGATTCCTGGCTGGGTCAGGTGCCCTTCCCACATGCTGGTTGCTCCCCCCAAACTGTGAGTTGAGAAGAGCAAGAGCTCTTCTTTCCAAAAAACATACATAAGCACATATATATGGCAGATGCCCTGGTGCATCTTTGTATACTGGGGGCCTGCACACACGGGTGTCCTCAGCTTTTTCTTAGTGGCAGTTGGCAGCTGGTGACTCCCTTCTTAAAATGCTGTTTCAATTGACTTCTAGAATCCTCTTGGTTCTGCTTCTGACTTACTGGTTCCTTACTCCTCTGACCTCTGTACCCTGGGAATGTCCCAGAGCTTAGTCCTCCAACTTCTTTCTCTACATCCATTTTCTAGGGGATCGCCTCCAATCACATGGCTTGAAATAACATCAATACACTGAGGACTCTTAAATTTGCATCTCCAGCCTGATCTTCATTTATCCAACCACCTACTCACATTTCTATATAGCTCCTAAGCACCTCAGCTTTGACAAGAACAAACCGAACTCCCAATTTCCCCTTCTGAATCTGTTCCTCCACATGACCTCCATTTATTAAAACCTTTGCAGTCATCCTTAATTTCTGTCTCTCTCTCATGCCTTGTATCCAGCCCAATAGCAAACACCTTCAAATAATTCTAGAACATACTGTTTCCTGCTCTGTTTTCTGCCATTATTTGATTTCCTGCATAGCCTCCTAACTGCCCCGCTTGCCTTCCCTTAGTCTGCTTATAGGAGGGCTCTTTTAAAACATAAATCTGTTAGCCAGGAGTGGTGATGTGTGCCTGTAATCCCAGCTACTCAGGAGTCTGAAGCAAAAGGATGGCTTGAACCCAGGAGTTTGAGGTCGCAGTGAATTATGATGACACTACTGCATTTAGCCTGGGTGATGAAATGAGACCCTGTCTCAAAAAAAAAAAAAAGTAAATCAGACCATGTTTTCTCTCCTCTCCTCCAAATGCCCCAATGGCTCCCTATCTCAGACTAAGAACCAAAGCCTACCAAGGTAGGAAAATGGCCTACCAAGCTCTCCACAATCTGCCCCCCTCCAGACCCCACCTGCTCAAGCCACATTCATTGATTCCCTCTGCCAAGAATGCTCCCCCCTAAAATGCCCCCCATGACTCACTCACTCCCTTACAGCTCAAATATCACCTTATCACAGAGGCTTCTGACCACCCCAAATAAAACAGCAACTCCCTACTCCTACCCTAGCCCTAACCCTTTCTCTCCATACCACTTATATGCTCATCTCTCTCCACTAAGGATGATGATAACGTTTTGTCTACTGTTCTAGTTTCAGCACCCAGTACAGCATGCCTGGTGTCTTGTAGGCACTTAATATTTGTGGAATGACTATTCAATGAAGAGTTGTTAAATGAAGGCATGTGAAATCAAGATGCTACTTTTCCAGAACATCAAGTAAAACAATCCCTCAATTCACAAACGGAACTCATTTTCCAGGATGTATCACAGAAGGATTAGTTTAGTAAGTCACATCCACAAGTTACTAGGACACTGGAACTTTGTTCTTTTCGATCCCTATTCCCTGTATGAAAAGGGTATATATCATTCTTCATTCTCCAGTGACTGCTATGTTAACGTAACAGCATCGAGTAAATACTCTGACCACTGGCTTAAAAAGCAAACCAAAAAGGACTTAAAGGTTTAAGAACCAATCTTAATTCAAGTAACACCTTAAACCCACTTAACATGATGAACTTGAATTAAGCAGCTCACTATCATGACAATCACTTCACTACTCTCCATAAAAAGGGTAAGGCAAAACAATAGCTGTCAATGTGAGGGTGAGGTCCTACCTTTACAACCAGAAGCTTGAATAGCTTGGATTAGTGGTTCCCAAAGTGTGGTCTGCAATCCTTTCAGGAGGATTGAAGAGGTCAAAACCATGGTACTAAGACATTATGGTACTAAGACATTACAGGTGGAGTATTCCTAATCCAAAAATCCAAAATATAAAACTTTTTTTTTTTTTTTTTAGAGACAGAATCTCACTTCATCGCCCTTGGTAGAGTGCCATGGCATTACACAGCTCACAGCAACCTCCAACTCCTGGGCTTAGGTGATTCTCTTGCCTCAGCCTCCCAAGTAGCTGGGACTACAGGCACCTGCCACAACGCCTGGCTGTATTTTGTTGCAGTTTGGCCAGGGCCAGGTTTGAACCCACCACCCTTGATATATGGGGCCGGCACCCTACTCACTGAGCCACAGGCACTGACCCAAAATATGAAACTTTTGAGTGCTCAAAGAATATGCATATTGAAATATTTCAAATTTTAGGACTAGGGATGCTGACACTAAGTATATAGCACAAATATAAAAAAAAAAAAAATCCAAGATCTGAGAGATACTTCTGGTCCCAAGAATTTCCTATAAGGGATACTCAACCTGTATTTGGCTTTTTCACACTCATTCTCTCACTAGTACACAGGGGTTTGCTGGAGACAACAAAATGCGTGGTATTCTGAGAGTAAATGTAGAAGCATATATGAAATGATCTTTTTTTTGTAGAGACAGTCTCACTTTATTGCCCTGGGTAGAGTGCTGTGGCGTCACACAGCTCACAGCAACCTCCAACTCCTGGGCTTAGGCGATTCTCTTGCCTCAGCCTCCCAAGTAGCTGGGACTAGAGACTATCTTTTATTAAGCAAAAATGTAGAACAATGCCACTCTTCTAATATTTTTTATTTTGGAAAAGTTTTCATTTTAAATGTTATTTATGTAAGCTCATAATGCATTGCTTTTTAAATGTATTTTTTTTTAATTTCTTAATTTCTAATATAAATTTTGAGATAGAAACCACACAAACAAAACCTCTTTGGGGTCCTGAAATTTGAGTATAAAGCAGGCTGCCTTAAATATACCAGTGTACTTTCTATTACTATTAAGAAGTCTGTATCTAGCGCTGTGATGGGCATTTTGCTCCCTCACTGGAACCACAACCTTCAGGTGTGCTACTCAATCTACACAAAGCTAATAGCCGGCAGGCGACCCCTACTACTTAAGCAAGGTCAGAGCTTTTCTAGTAAATACCTTCACCACTTTTCCCAAGGATAAATCACCTGTTTGTGAAGCCCATACCCCATGATCATGAATTAGCCACACAGCCAGTGGGATGTTTTAATAAACACTCTAAACCTATTTTGTAATATAAATCAAACAAACTTCCTGTTAACATTCTGTTAGCACAGCTAAACACTGTCATTACATTTGATGGATATGCAATGGTCTAAGTTAAAATATAAGCTATGTGGCATATACAAAATTCATTTGAGAGCTACCTGAAAAAGACAGGGATTCATCCTCAAGTTGAAACTAAGGACAGATTTTTTTTTTTTTTAAACCAAATTTTGAGAGAAACTTTGAGATGGTTGACCAGAGACGTACACAGTTCTCTCTGGGGATTGCTGGGATGAAGAGGGAAATTCAGAGATAATAACCATTCTAGAACATTTGAAACTGAGGTCTAAGACCTATCTTACAACTAATTTCAAACAAACAAACAAAAAATCCATATATAAAAATGCCAAAGGTGAGGAAGATACTTACTAGTTTCAAATATTACATGCCCTCCCTCCAACTGAAGCAGCCAACTCCAAGCTGCTTGAGAAGCTTCATGTAACATGCCTTGCAACAAACAGCACCAGCAAGGGTTTATTTACTGATGGTTAATAATTCTCTCAAACAATACAGGGCAGGCCAGCTAGTTTATTCAAATTGAATCTAAATTTTAGACCTCTGGCTTAACAATAACATTAAAAACTTTTATAGATACAATAAATCTTGTGTTAAATCAGAGATGGTTTAAAACAGTCTTGTAACTTCTAATATTAAGGGCTGGCAACTACAGCACAACAAATGTTCGGTAGGTACAGTTACAAAACCACATCTGAGTTTCCTTGGCTACCAAATCTTAAACAGATCTGAAAAATGCAGTTTTACAAAGGCTTTTAACCACATACCCCCTGCTGCCAGTCTCGAGTAATTATGGTTTCTTCATCCCCCAGGGACATTTCTAAATGAGAGGGATTTTCTTTGATCTGCTTGCCTTGATGGGTATGTAAGAACTCAGAGAGCAAGTTTAAAGAATGAAGGTAAGATTAACTGAGATGCCAAGAAAAGTTTTTATTGCAAGCACAGTGAGCAGAAAAAGATGTCTTCTCACACAAAGTGGCTGCAAGGTCTGCCATTAACTAAATCTCTTTGATAACCCTTCATTGGTTTAAAGCAAATGGATTAGCTTCCTGCTATCAGGTGTACATCATTTCTGCCATGTGAGACATTTTCTTGGGAATATACAAGTAATACTCCATGTAGCCTGATAGGTCCTCAATGGTCACATCATCCACATAGACTCGAGCTTGCTCAGAACAGGAGCGGGGAGAGCCAGACAGAGTTCGGGTGTGCAGTGACTGAGAGTAGTCCTCAAGGGTTGATCTTCGTTCTGGAGCCAAAGGAGGGACATTCTGCAGGCCTGAAAAGGAATAGACCTCCATATCGTGCCATCTCTTACACTGGCATTCCTTGCCTATGCATGCACATGGCTTGCCCTGGTTTAGCTTGGAAACAGATCGAAAGTCAGAGAGATCACTGGCTTTGAGACTTGCTTGGGAGACTTGGGTAGCATCAGAGGAGTCTTCTTTCTTACTCTCTGATGGAAGCCTTGGAACCGAAGTTCTCAAAGGCTCAATGACTGGCCCCGTATGATTAGCATCAAGAGAAGTTGAGCTTTCTCCTGCACTGAACTCTTTAGGAGTTGAAATTCCTAGCCCACTGCTGCCATCAGGGGAGTCAGTCTGGCTTCTGTGTCTGAGTTGGCTGCTGGAAGATGATGCTATTGTACTGCAATGTATAAACTTTGGAGGATGAAGGACCGGAGACTTAGAACGTCGACGACGCTGAGTTCTCACTGCTCCTCGTGAAGACTTCCTTGTAGACCTAAGAGGAAAAAAATATACAAGAAGATATTGGGATACAGAGCCCTCCAAACAGATGCGTTAGAAGAATTGGAAATTTACCTCCTCTCAGGTTTGAGTCTAAGATCATAAATTTTCCCCAAGAGATGTGTCTGCTTCCATTTTCAAGCTGCCTAAGTCTTTGTGTCTCAAAAACTTCAACATCTTCTTATTAGCAAGCTACAGAAATAGGTGAGATAAGGGTAGTTTTTAATTGATTGACTTGGGACAAACAATTGGAGCAGAATACCTGCCCTGTCCAACTCCATGCTTGGGAACCTGGGGGAAGCACCCCACAAAGGCCATTTCAACTGTAAGCCTAAAGGCTGTGCCCTAAACCCGAATGCAGTAGCTTTGGTATCACTGTGAGGTTAATGCTATAAATAGTCACTGCTATTAAATAGAGCAGCAGATTTTATGACTCATTTCTATCACTGATAACAACCTACAAAAAAACAAACATTTAGAACCCCGGAGGTTTTCAGATACTGGACATACTATATAGCCATTTATAAAATATTTAACTAAATGGGCTCGGTGCCTGTGGCTCAAGTGGCTAAGGCGCCAGCCACATACACCTGAGCTGGTGGATTTGAATCCAGCCTGGGCGCGCCAAACAACAATGACGGCTGCAACCAAAAAATAGCTGGGCATTGTGGCGGGTGCCTGTAGCCCCAGCTACTTGGGAGGCGGAGGCAGGCGACTCGCTTGAGCCTAGGGGTTGGAGGTTGCTGTGAGCTGTGATGCCATTGCACTCCACCCAGAGTGACAGCTTGAGGCTCTGTCTCAAAAAGAAAAAAATAAAATTAAGATAAAAAAAAAATTTAACTAAATGAAAGAACTGAACAAAAGAAAAATAGGAACTCAAAACTACCAAGCACATTAGAGGAAAAAAACCACAAATAGGATCCTTTTTTTATTTTTTTCAAAACAGTTTCACTATCTATATCTCCCTCGGTAGAGTGCTGTAGTGTCACAGCTCACAGCAACCTCAAACTCTTGGGCTTAAGCAATTCTCTTGCCTCAGACTCCCGAGTATCTGGGACTACAGATGTCCACCAGAACACCAGCTATTTTATGTTGCAGTTGCCACTGCTGTTTTAGCTGGCTGGGGCTGGATCCGAACCTGCCACCCTCAATATATGGGGCCGGTGCCCTACCCACTGAGACACAGGCGCTGCCCAAAACCAAACAGGATGCTAAGAAATAAAAAATTTTACATTTGGAACTAAACTAAATGGGTAGACTGAACAGCAGAACACAGCCATCCCGTCTTATTTGTGGTTTCACTATCCACACTTTAAGGTACCTGTGGTCAACCCTAATCTAAAAATATTAAATGGAAAACTCCAAAAATAAATAATTCGTAAGTTTTAAATTGCACACCATTCAGAATAATCTTGCCATATGCTACTCTGGACCCTCTGCAATGAGAATCATCCCTCTGTCCAGCATCTCCACACTATTACCTACCCATTAGCCACTTAGTAGCTGTCCTGGTTATCAGATCAACTGTTATGGTATCACAGTACTTGTGTTCAAGGAATCCTTATTTTACTCAATAATGGCCCCAAAGTATAAGAATGGTAATAGTGGCAATTCAGGTATGCCAATGATAAACTATAAAGTGCTTCTGCTCTGGTTTGAATGTGTCCATCAAAAGTTCATGTGTTAGAAATTGGTTCTGAGTGGCGACAGTAGCTCGTGGGTAGGGCGCCAGCCACATACACCCAGGCTGGCGGGTTTGAACCCAGCCCAGCCCAGCTAAAATAATGACAACTGTAACAACAACAACAACAAAAATAGCTGGGCATTATGGAGGACACCTGTAGTCCCAGTTACTTGGGAGGCTAATGCAAGAGAATCACTTAAGCCCAAGAGTTTGAGATTGCTGTGAGCTGTGACGCCACAGCACTCTACCCAGGACGACAGCTTGAGACTCTGTCTCAAAAAAATCAATAAAAAGAAATTTGGTTCCCAAGCAGAAGTAGGACCACCCTTGGGGAAGGGGGGGTGATACCTCTTCAGTACCCTTCAGTAATAAGGGCTCTGCCTTTACGAATGGATAACGCGTTCGAGAGGGAGTGGTTTAGCTATTATGAGCCTGGGTCTGTTATATAAAGCTAGTTTGGCCATCTCTTGTGAGCCCCCTTGCCATGTGGTCCTTCATGATATGACATAGCAAGAAGGCCTTCACCAGACACTGGCACCATGCTCTTGGAATTACCAGTTCCAGCACTGTTAAGTAATAAATTTCTTTTCTTTAGTAAGTGCCCAGTCGCAGGTATTCATTTGCAGCAACAGAAAACGACAGCTTCCTTTAAGTGAAAAGGTGAAAGTTCTTGACTTGAAAGAAAAAAATCACATGCTGAGGTTGCTAAGATCATATGCTGAGTTGCTAAGATTTGCCCATGAAATTGGGAAGGAAAAAGAAAGTCTTGATCATTTTGCTGTTGCACCACAAACTGCAAAAGTTAAAGCCACAGTGTGTGGTTAAGTCCTTAGTTAAGATAAAAAGGCATCAAATTTGTGGAAGGCATGAACAAGGAACACGTTCTGACAGCAAACGGGTTCAGTATTGTCTGTGATTTCAGTTATCCATGGGTGTGTGTGTCTTAAAACATACTGTCCACATAGCTAAAGAATTACTGAATTGTAAAATAAATCTAAATTATTTACAATAGAGGTACAATAGCAATTTGCAGGCTATGGGTCAAATCTGGCCCCCTATCTGTTTCTGTACAGCCTGTGTACACTGTCCAGTGGGCTAGCACTGTGAGCCATAGAAACCAGATTGGGGCATCCCCCCACTCCCAGTCTCTGTTCTCCCTGGTCAGTGGACATATTGAACTACTGTCCAGGACCCAGATTAGCTACCACCAAACGTTGGGTCTCTGATGTTGTCAACTGCTGAGCACTGAAACGCAGATCTCAGTTTGGAGGTAAGAAGAGCATGGTGGGATCTCAGTGTCTCTGGGACAGAGTAAAACTGATCCTGGATCCTTATCCAACCATTCCACCACATCCTCCCCTCAGGCTAGTAGTTTCATCCTGGGAATGTCTCAGCAAGAGAACACAAAGTGTGTCCACCAGCCAGGACTGCCTAACCCCAGGCAAACAGGCAGGATAGACGTTTTCTCTCTTATACATGTATAACTACTTACATAATATCCTTGGATTTTGCTTCTTGGCGTCCGAAGCTAAAATAATTACTATACAGCACTTAACTAAGATTTGGGGTAAAAAAAAAAAAAAAGTAAAAATTAAGAGAGATAGAAGATAGAACAAATCTGTGGTCTGAGGACAAGTGATTTTTGAAGAGATAATGACTCATTTTCTGATAGATGAAAGAAGACAATCTATAAATACAAGAAACACCCTGGAGCAAGATAAAAAAGAAAAGAAATCCATCCACATATACACACATTGTAGCAAAACTGTAAAATAGCAAAATCACAGGAAGATCTTAAAAGAAGCCAGAGGCAAGTCAGATTATTTCCAAAAGAACAATGATTAGATTGAAAGTAGGCTTTCAGTATCAACATGATTTGAAGCCAGAAGACAACAAATTGTACCTGCAAGTGCTAAGAGAAAATAACTGCCAAACTAGAAATATTTCAGATATATCATATCTATCTTTCAAAAGCAAGAATGAAGTAAAAAGATTTTCAGATAAATCAAAGCAAAGTGTAGTCATCCCCACATATCCATGGGCTTCACATTTGTTGATACAACTATCTGTAGATGAAAATATTCAGAAAAAAAAAATTCCACAAAGTTCCAAAAAGCAGAATTTGAATTTGCCATGCACCAAGTACTATATCAAATCCACAGTAATGAGATGATGTGGAGGCATTGTATTAGGTATTACAAGTAACATAACATGATTTAAAGTATATAGGAGAATGTACATAGGTTATATGCAAATACTACACCATTTTGTATAAGAGATTTGAACATCCTCCAATTTTGGTATTCCTGGCAAGGGGTGAGGGGAAATCCGAAACCAATCCAATCCCCCGGGATACTGAAGGATAACAGTATATTTACCAATAGGCCATATATAACTCCAGAGGATAGCATTCAAATATATTTTATGTGGAGTTATATAGAGGCCCTACTTACTAATAGCAAGTCTTCACTAAAAAAACTACTTTAAGAAAGTGACTCCATATGGAAGGTCTGAGGTCCAAAAATGGTATATAAAGTAACTACAAACAAGTAGAAAAATCTAAACAAACACTATTTAAGTAATAACAAAATTCTATGAGAACAAACAAAACTCATCAAACAATTTTTAAAACAAATTTTTTAATTAAAAATTTTTTTTGTGATTTCTGAGGAAGAGGAGAAAGGTAAGAAGAAAAAAAAAAAACCATAAAAATTCAGGCTTGGCTCCCGTGAGCAGGGCACCAGCCACATATACTGAGGCTGGCGGGTTCGAGCCTGGCTTGGGCCTGCTAAACAACGACAACTGCAACTAAAAAATAGCCAGGTGTTGTGGTGGGCACTTGTAGTCCCAGCAACTCAGGAGGCTGAGGCAAGAGAATCACTTGAGCCCAAGAGTTTGAGGTTGCTGTGAGCTGTGATGCCACAGCACTCTACCAAGGGTGACACAGTGAGACTCTGTCTCAAAAAAAAAAAACAAAAACAAAACATAAAAATCCAGCTATATATTATCTTTATGAGACTATCTAAAATTTAAGAACACAGAATGGAAACTAGATTAGCTATATCAATTCCAGACAAAGTAGATGTAAAAACAAAAGCCATTAATGAGGGATTAAAAATGTCACTACATAGTACAAGTTTCAATTCACCAGGAAGAAAACATTCTAAACTTAAATGGACCTAGGTTGTACGAACCTAACAAAATAACCTCAAAATATATAAAGCAAAAATATAAAACTTAATAGGAAAATAAACAAATTCACTCCCATGGGGGAGATTTCAACAAAAATCTCAGTTATTGACAAGTCAAGGTGACAAAAAAAAAAAATTGAACAAAGATTCAAGTAACACATTTAAAAGCTTGATTTAATGGACACAGAACCCAAGAACAATCAGAGAAGACCCATTCTTCTCAAGTACACATAGAACATCCATTAAAAATTGACTACAGACCAGGTCAAGCAGAGTCTTGGTAAATTCACAACAAAGAGAACAGGTCCTTCTCTGACAGGTAGGTCTTGAGTTTTACATAATAACGTATTTTTTTCCTGGACACGCAGGAAAGAAAATTCAATAATATTTTAAGGTATTGGGATAAAAGCTATCTCAATAAGAAGCTCTTACCCATGCCAACTATCTTTAGATGCACATGTGGTTTTAGGTTTGGTATCATCTGCTGCTGTTCTGACGGATGCTCTGACACTTGTGCCCTCTCCAACAGAAAGAGATGCTATGGACCTGAAGAAAAGAACAAAGTTTACTGCTATAGAAAACTGTAAAATGAGAACTACTTATTGTTACCAACTCAAATAAAACTTTTATCAATGCCTTAATTTTCTTCCTCATTTGGGTTTCAAAATTTGCTCCAGTAAATTTTCCTTCAAAATCAAATTTAAAGGATCCCTAAAAGCCCATAGGGGTAAAACCATAAGCTAAAGAATGATTCATAAGTATAACCAGGAGCAGGATATAAAGAGGCTTTTAGCTGTTTCTCTGGAGCAGATCAGGCCTATGTCGAGAGAGAATGCTAATGATACTAGCCGCTTATTTTATTTTTTACAGGCAAACTAGAGCTGTGGGAACTAAGTTTAGAAGCAAAAACTTTAGGAGACTCCATCTAACTTAAAAATGAATACATATTCATATATACAACTTTTAGAAACATATTCTAATTTTTACAACTAATAAACTTGAAATATTACTGAGTTAAATATTTGTGGTTTAAAATTACACAGATAACATGGATTCCCAGTAAAAATCATAAAAAATTGGAAAGAGAGAAAAAGAGAATCCATCCATAATCTCACAAGCCAGAGACTGCCAATGTTTAACATTTTGGCATAAATCCTTCCAGACTTTTTCAATACATACACACACACAACACCTATTACACATGCTATGGTAGTGACAAAATCCTTTTGGAAGAGACATCAAATCTACTTATGTAAAAACATGCTCACTGAAACACAAAATAAAAAGTAGCTGGGAATAACCTAGATATCCAACGATAGAGAAATGCTATATTATATAAATCACAGCATATCTATACAATGGAATATTAGGAATTTATTAAAAATTAAGCATACAAAGAACTTTTAATGATATGGGATGATGCTTATAATCTTAGAAGAAACAGCATAAATACCTATACATACATTATAATTTCAACTACATAAAAAAAAAAAAGAGTATAGGGTATCAAGTACAGATGTCTATATGTTAACCACAGTTATAATAAATTATAATTCTTACTTCCTTTTTAATCCTGTTGTTTTTACAAAGTGTTCTATAATAAGCGTATATTGTTTCATAGATAAAAAGGATTGTTGCTTCATAAAAATATGTAGAGATTTGTTGTGATAAGACAAATACCATTAGGAATCAAAACCTGCTAAACAGGATCACTCTAAATTCTTAGCTAAGCTCGGTTAGTTTATGAGTCAGTCCCTCAGATGTCCCATTTTTAAACTGGCAACAAGTATGAAACAAGTAGAAATGTATGCTACACAAGTCTGATTCTGCTTAGTCATGCTAATGACTCACCCCTTATACTCTTATTTGGTTCTCTACTGTTCCTTCTCTTCCCACAATTTTACTCAAGGCAGATCAAAGCTACAAATATATCATTTTTGACCATATATTGTAGATACTTTAAAAGTTTTTATAATGTTCCAAGTAATTTTTAGGGAAACCAAAATGCTTATTTTATATTTCAACTTCCTAAGACATCAGCAAAGAAGTTTGTATCAAAAGCTGCTTATATAACTTTACACACTGAGACTTTTATGTATATGTGTGTGTATACATTCCTAGTATTTTCCCAATAAAAAATGTTTCTATACAAGAAATCACAAATATACATACTCCAACAACAATCTGAAACTGATTCTCTGCTTTGTTTCTGTTTCCCAAAATGGCTTATCAAGGTACTGATGTGAAATGGCAAGATGGCCATAATGGAGAACCACTGGAATAAAAGTGCTTTTTTGAAGTATCATAGAAGCAAACGTAAAACACCTGTCACATCTACTGGGAAAATCTCATAGCATAAAAATCTTCCCACTTGGTAGGCCAAAAATAATTCTAGCAATAGGGTGATAGCTACACTATTATCTACTTAATTTTTACTTTGTGCTAGGTACTGCATACTTCAAAGTGACATAAAGGAATGATTAAGAGTACAGGTCTGGAGACAAAATATCTAGGTTCTAATCCTGGCTCTGCAACTTCCTACCAATTTGACCTTTAGCAAGTGACTTAATTTGTGTCTCATATGTGAACAGAACTGACAGTAATATCTATCTTCTAAGGTGGTTGGAAGATTAAATAATGTGCACAAAAGTACTTTATCCAGTGTTGAAGGCACAGCATGTAAGTAATAAACATTAGCAATTATTATTACTACTTATGGAATGTAATGTTCTACTCTTAAGATTCCAGTGTTTGGTTTCCATTCATCAAAAGAAAAATTGTTGTATCCATTTAATTTTGAGATTTCTTTTGGTCTGGGGCAAAGAATTGGGGTAAGAAGTCTTACACAGAACATTTTGCAAAGGGTAAAATATTAACATTCAGACAGCAGCTGGTCTGCAGGTGCTCTAATTAGTCTGACCAAAGGATCCAAGATTATTGATCTCAGTGACAGAACCTTACTGAATAGAGGTTTCCATAGTGATAGACTCAGCAATCACAGACCATGAAATCGACAATATCTTCACAGATTTCTATTGAGCCAATTCACTTTGACTGAAAATACTGTCATTCCCTTGAGAAGCATGAAGAAATCCATGATGGGACAATGCTTGATAATCTTTAATTAAAAAGAGAAGGGGGGAACCCTCCGTAAAGAAAACACCTAACCTTAGAGTACAAATGGTGCTACTTTTCAAATTTAATGGAAGAGTTTCTTTTTAAAATATAACAATACCCTGCAGAAACTGGTGCCATGTCACACTATCAGTATTTACATCTTCTAAAAATAATGAGAAATACTAAAAGAGGAAGAAATCTTTAGGTGAAAGAGACTACATATAATTAGTAAATAAATGATTCTAAATAATATATTACATGTTTAATTACCCTGATGCATCCACTCTTAATTTCTTGAAAGCAGTTTGTAGACTCTCCTCCTCTCCATCCTTGGCTTCAGATTTCATTGTGAAAGTTTTTACACTACTATGGATGTTCCCGTTAATACTAAAAAAGAAAATAAAAATAAGTAAGCAAAGAGAAAACAGGTGCGATCAAAAGCATGCCTTTTGTTAAAAATATATATGCCTGATATCATTACTGTTGGAAGAAGAAAACAAATTTTTATTTCTAAAAGGAAATTTAAGTATAGATAATTAGGACACTTTAGGTTTTATTTAAGAGGAAACAAACGAAGTGATACAGAAAATGGACAGAATTTAAAGTCTCCAAATACTTGATGCCAATATCTTAACTACACAGCTTTGGAAACTAGATCACCTGAAATCTATGTTTTAGATACTTCCTAACAGGGAAAAACAAAATCTCAGTTGATCTAGAAACCTATGGACAAAATGACTTTTACATCTGAAAAAAGAGAAAAAAGCTCAAACCAGAGCACTCTGATTCTTTAAAATGGAACAACTCTGAGTCTTTAACCAATTTTTTGAGGCCTTGCACTTACAGGGCTTACCAAAAAAAAAAAGTGATACTGAGTTATTTGTCTGGTCTAACCCTAACAATTCTAGTTCACGATACAGGACAGTGTATCTCTAAAGCTATCCTAACCCAGGTATCAATATTCACAAAAACATGTTTTAGACAACAGTAAGTTACCATAGTTAAAGCAGAATTAGAAACTTCTTTTAATGCTTACTGATTACACTCTTCCTATAAGGTTTATACCTTCATTTCATTTTTTTCATAGCTTTGAATAATTATTAAACAAGAAAATAAGTGAACTATACTTGCAACTCAAACAAGACAATTTTTCTTTAGCCAAACAAAGAAGTAAAAAATTTAAAAAAAAACAAAATTACTATGCTGTACATCACCTTTAAACGATTTCCTCTTAACTACATAGTCTGTTTAACCAGTTTTCCATTTCTCCCACCCAAATTTTTATACTTAAAGAAAGATAAAAGACTAATCAAAGCAACAAGGAACACAACAAAGTCTGTTAATAAACCCTTGAATCTAGTCTCCAAATTATTTTTTCACTCAAGAGTAATTAGTACCAAACCCCAAACAAAACAAAAAATAAGCAAACCATTATCTATAAACATATCACAGGGATCAGAAAGGAAAAAAAAAAGGTGAAAGGAAAAAAAAAGGTTAAACAACAAATGGAAGATAGAGAATTTTTGAGGCATTCACTTTACCTCTTAATTTCTAAGCTGTTACCCCCTACTCCCCACCCCCACCCCCATGGCACGCTCAGAGTGAGCAGTGCCTCTTTGGACCCTAGGGTCCTCTGATTCCGTATCTGCTCATTTCTCAGGGGTGGGCTTGATGTAATTGTGAGACCTCTACTATTCCAAAGGTCAAAGTGTCATAAAGGCAAAAAAAGAGACAAAGAATCAAGATTTTTCACTGTTTATTTATTTATAAGTAGAAGTTAAGGTCATTTAGGCAGAGCTATCTGGGGAACCCTGAAAACAGTCTCAAAAGAATTCTAACAGAAAACGAGTTTTCACCTTAACTTAAGACATTTAAAAACACTCCCCATACATATTTTGCTGGTTTATTTAACTAGCACTTGAACATGAGGAAACATTCATACAATTCTATGCTTCACCAGTCTCTTAATTCTTCTCAGTTTAGAGCAGGATCCTCTCAAATACACAATAATGGCCTACATATCTGGGGAAGGGGTGAGCAAAGATCATTTATTCTAATATTTTCAAAGGTCCACAGCCTCTAAAAGAGTGCTATTACAGGTTGTAAACAAATTCTTCCTGCTGCCAGGACTAAAGTTTGACTTATAGTTCTCAATTACCTTATGACTAGTCAAAGGCTAGGCCCTTACAGAGTTAAAAAAAAAAACAATCACCTAAGCCAGTCTCCCCAACCCACACAGACCCCCATACAGTCCTCTTTAGGCCTCTCCAAAAATTAGTCAATATTTAACTACACATCCTATCTATAACTGCTGAATTCCATAGGTGGAAATTCATCCCTTCCACAATGTTTACAGAATTGGTACCATGAGTGTAGCACTAGATCCTAAGGACAGAAGCCTATGAACTCCATTTCTGTAAGGACTGGAATTTCATTCCTGCCCTCCAGGACCAGACAATATAACACTGTCCACCCACACATGTAACTTTTAATTATACAGTGCTGACTTACTAGCATGGCTGGTGACCATGCTAGATGTTAATACAAACTAAGTTAGCATTCTAAAAGATCTGCCATCTAAAAAACTAAATAAAAATCTGGCTACAGACTAAAACTTTAGGTATGAAGTTCCGTCTGAACTATTTTCAGAATTCCAGCATTTTGACTACTCATTACTTTTTTTTCAAGTTATTTTAACCCAGAACAAACATGAGTCGTAGACATGACCTTAAGTACCACATCAGAGCCACGTTTGTAATTACAAAAAGCTTATTATGCTGTTCTATATTCCCAGCTTCCCAGTCACGGAAAGCAAGAGCTGTCCAACTAACTCCTGACTACAGATATAATTGGTTTATCCTTCTTAATTAATCATTATTAATAAAATTGCAAAACACATTCTTACCGTTTTCACTGCAGTGACTTCAAGTTGAATAATCGCCAAAGAGATGGAACTTTTAAAGAACTATTAGAAGTTATTTGTATTAAATCAAATCACACGAGGCAATGTAACTTTGTCTCGGATTTTCCCCAATCTTTCAAAAATGGTCAAGTTCTTCTAAAGTTCCTCCATCAAAAGGGCAAATTCCTGGTTTTCTCTGTCGACGACTATGTGTCACAATCTAATTTACATCTTGCCATTTCAACCAAGACCTCCTTGAACCCCAAGCCTAGCCCTAACATTTCCAGGACCCCGAAAAGACCTGAGAATCATAAATAAGGGATCCGCGCGTAAGCGATTCAAAACAGTGTTAAAAGATTTCAAAAATTTCCCAGACCAGTAGGGAGTGTGAAGTCTGTGGTAGAAAACCGTGCCCAGCAACTCCACAAGAGATAAACAAGACCGAATTGAAACAATCGGCCCCTAGGACAAAAAACACATTCACGCCTCTCTCTGCACACCCACTCATCCCTTACACTCGCAGTGCCACAGCCCAAACACTACGTTAATCCTTTTCACCCAGACTCTTGCTCTGTCGCGGTTAAACAGGGTCAGGGGCAAACTTGGGGAACAGGGAGAGAAGGGACAACGCTGAGTGGAGAGTTGTCCAGGGGGTCTACCCGTCCGGGGTCTCGAGCTGAGAAGCTGCCCCCTCCAGAGGGTCTCCCGACCAGAAATAGCGGCTGGAGCAGGGCCAAGGCACAAGGGATGCAGGAGGAGAAAGGATAGAGGCCGAAAAGAAAGGGGCCAACGAGAACCGGGCACACAAGCGGGCGGGAAAGGGCGGGAAGGGGCAAAGGGCGGCCGAGGAAGGCAAAAGGGGAAGCTACGGCTGGGCGGGAGACCGCGGAGGAGCGGGACCAGGCGGGAGCAACCAGAGAACTAGAGGGCGGGCGGGGGAGGGGGGAACTCAGGCAGGTCCAGGCCGCAGTTGAAGAGGGGACGCGGAGAGGCCGAGGCCCAGGCCCGGCCCAGACAGTCAGCGCCGGGAAACGACGAGACAGGAGGCAGGCGGGCCCACAGGAAGCCGCCCGCGACCAGGCCCGGCGTGGAGGCCGAGATGCGCTGCCGCGGCCCCTCCTCGTCACGTCTGGACACTTACCTCCTCGCAGCTGGGGCGCTCCGGTGATCCGGTCCCGTCAGTTCAGATCGTCTCTTCCCCGAGCGCGGCGCCTGACTGACCCGGATCCAAACCCGTGAAGAGGGCGGCCCGCGCCTCCGGAGTCGCACTGCGCCTGCGTCACTCAGGGACACGGCCCGCCCCCTGATCATGCTCCTCCCACCCCAGTGACTAGGCTGAGCTGCAGACGGCGGCTGCGCAAGCGCGGGGCGGTGGCCTCGCCTCTCAAACGCCCAGCACCTACCTTCTGGGAAGCACGTGCGCCTATGTCATTTCCTGTTATTCTTTTCTGTCCCTGCTCCCTCCCGCGAGGTTCGCTCTGGACTGGCTTTTGGGGCGTGCCTGCTTCCTCCTCCCCGTCAGGTGAGTGAGTAGGCGTTATTTTTCTCAGACTGCTTCCACTTCCCTGGCGTCTACTTATGCTTAACCCTCTACCTGGAGTCACCTAGGAGAGGAAATTCCTCAAGGGTGAGGACGGGATGTTGGAGTCTTTGTCGCAGTCAAGCCCTAAGCGTTTGGCTTGATTCGAATCTGTGCCGCTTGCTGTATCTCCTGGGCTCCGACACGAACCCTCTCCTCCTAGGATCTTTGAGGTTCTGCAGAGGTATTGGATAGGGCCGCAAAAGTGAGGCTAGAATTGGAATTGAATTGAAATGCCTTAGCTTTTGATGTTCCTGTTGTTTGAGTTGATGCAACTGCTTTCTGTCTCTGGATCTCAGCTTCTCCATCTAGTAAGTGAGAAAGTTGGGCTGTACCAGCGAATCTCTCTCTCTCTCTCTCTCTCTCTCTCTTTTTTTTTTTTCAGGCGTAGACTCCTTTAAGAATATGGTGAGAACTATAGACCCTGTAGCCAGAGAAATGCATATCAAATTTTGCAAAAAGATTTAGGCAGTTAATCTAAGTAAGTGATTTTTAGGGATCTTTTTATTTTTATGATCCCGAAGGTTGCTCAAATGGCAGGCAGGAAATGGTGATCTGTGCAACAGTCTCCACCACCTCCATCACCAGGATTGATTCTGTAGATGTAGTTGTGCCCTTTCCTCTCCTGCCACTCCCTTGCTCCACGTCTACACTGCTCAAAGCTTCGTGGGAGAAGATGGCTTTCCTCAATAGAAGTGGCTGGCATTGCTTCTGGCCCAGCCCTAGAGTGAGGATTTTTCCTTGAACCAAAACTGTACCCTCCCTCCCCCATTCCCCATACCTTAGGTATAGCCAACTAACTAGATCGTCTGTTGAAGATTATTTATATAACTGAACCACAGCCAGGCCTTGGAATGCCTGGCCCTTGTCTGGAAGTGAAGTCTACAATTTATTACATATGGTTGTTAAATAGTCAGCCCTGGGTAGAACATTTTAAATTTCTCTTTGTTCATTCCAGAGGCTCAATAACTGACAGTAGTGGAACAAAAAAACAAAACCATTAAGCGCCCTCTACTGAGCAGCGGTTATGTACATATTCTTGCATTTAATGCTTCTGTGATTTTACCCATTGTACAGATGAGGATGACTGGAGCTCAGGAAGATTAGATACCTTGTTCTAGCTCTCCTTGTCTTGTGTCACAGGAGCTATAAATCAGAACTTTAGCTGTCTCAAAAGCCTGTTCATCCATGGCTGCCCTTCTCCACATCATTTGGGAAAGACAACTTTAAGACAGCAAAAAATACGATTTTTTCAGACCTTGACAAGTGAACTGCATCAAAACTAAATAGTATTTTTAAGCTGTCATTTCAAAATATAGCTTCAGATAAAATCTCATACATGCTAGAGGGCAAGGGTTATGTCTGAATCACTGTTGAATTCCCAGAGTATAACATAATTCCTGGGGGTTAGGAGATGCTCAATACAATTTTGGTGAATTCTAACTTTACCTGATGTCCACCTGTTACAACATTAAATACTATACTAACACCTACTTAATTGAAATATTTGACATTTTTGTAAGCACATCTCCATTGTAAAGTTATGATGGAGCATGTGACTCAAGGAATACTTAGAAGATAAGAATGTCTTGGGAATACTGAAGTCTCTTAATTCATGCACCTGATGTGGCCTGAAGGTTTAAGTCAGTGGTTCTCAACTTTCCTAATGTAGCAGCCCTTTAATACAGTTCCTGTGGGTCATGACCCACAGGTTGAGAATCACTGATTTAAGTAAGTCATTATACATAGGACTGGCTCACTGTGTGGTATGTCATGACTTAGAATGAGATAGAGAAGTGGCAAAACATGTGATCTGAGTGAACAAAAGCCAGACCTGGCTCAGTGCCCATAGCATGGTGGTTACAGCACCAGCCCCATACACTGAAGTTGGCAGGTTCGAACCCAGCCTGGGCCAGCTAAAATCAACAATGACAACTGCAACAATAACAACAACTAAAATAGCTGGGCATTGTGGCGGGTGCCTGTAGTCCCAGCTACTTGGGAGGCTAAGGCAAGAGAATTGCTTGAGCCCAAGAGTTTGAGGTTGCTATGACCTGTGACGCCATAGCAGTCTACTGAGAGTGACAAAATGAGACTCTGTCTCAAAAAAAAAAAAAAAAAAGCCAGACCTGTCTCTCATTCCAGCAACACAGGGTCATTTTAGCCATGGGGGGTGCTGTGGTGGGGGGACCCTGAACTTGTGTGTGGAAATTATCTTGGTATTAACTTAATGCATATAACTTAAAGCCATTTAATTTAAAAAGCTATGGTGGGTGAAAAATTCCTCTGACAGTGCTTCCTTCTTGTTACAGGTGTCTTATAAGTAATTGAATAGAGACTCAATTCCATCTTTTTCCTTTTTTTTTTTTTTTTTTGGAGACAGAGTCTTAAGCTGTTGGCCTGGGTAGAGTGCCATGGCATCACAGCTCATAGCAACCTCAAACTCTTGGGCTTAAGCAATTCTCTGACCTTATCCTCCTGAGTAGCTGGGACTATAGGCGCCTGCCACAGTGCCCAGCTATTTTTTGGTTGTAGCTGTCATTGTTGTTTGGCAGAGCCCAGGCTGGATTAGAATCCACCAGCTCTGGTGTATGTGTCTGGTGCTCTAGCTGCTTGAGCTACAGGCACCGAGCCTTAATTTCATCATTTATGCTGCAGAAGTGATCAATTTATATAGGAAGATAATTTTTTATTTTAAAAAATAGCTTTGAAGAAGACATATTCAAATTCTTAAATTTATTTCCCTACCAATGTGGCTGCCATCCTACCAGCTGGTAATCTAAAAAAGTATTCTTATCCTTTTCTTTATCTCCACATTTTTTATTGAATCTAAGCTGTGTATTTTCCCACACTTTAGCACCCTTAAAATCTGTAAGTCTTGGAATTGACAGTGAGTCCTGGTATACTGTAATAAGTAGTATTTTTTTCTTTCTTAATTGTACCTACAATAAATGGTGATGAGTCTTTAGAGTTGATGAAAATACAGTATGTACCCAGTATGTCCCACAAGAGTTGAGGCACATAGCGGTACTCAGTAATTATTTATCAGAGGAAGGCATTGAGTGTTCACCCTGTAACAGAAACTACATAAGTATTTTTAATCCCCACAATCATCCTGTTACGAAATACTTCCTGTTACCAAGGCATCGTGGTAGTGAGAATTAAATGTGTGTTGATCATTTTGGAAGACTGGTGGTATGAACAGAGCTGCTTCTGGTGGCTCAGCTCTGCTGTGGGACCTTAGTATGTCAGGTTGTCTCTTGTGTCCTCAGTTTCCACTCTTTCTTTTAGTGAACACCAGCTGCTTGCCTGGGGCTGTGCAGAAGCTCTTTAATCTAGTTGGAGAGCCCCCAAATTAGTAGAAACACAGGATGCTGTGTGGGTACCCAGGAAGGTTGTCTAGCCACTTCTGGAAGTGCAGGGCAGCATCTGGGAAAAGTTTCTGGGGCGGTTGGAAAAGTCAAGTTTGACTTGACAGTGGGAGGGGTTAGAATGAGCCTGGAGAGGGAGGCCAGGCTAGCTCAGGGAGAGAGTTCTGTTAAAGAGCTTGGATTTTGGCTTGGTGCCTGTAGCTTAGTGGCTAGGATGCCAGCCACATACACTGGAGCTGGTAGGTTCAAATCCAGCCCAGGCCTGCCAAACAACAATGAAAACTATAACCAAAAGATAGCCAGGCGTTGTGGCGGGCGCCTGTAGTCCCAGCTACTTGGGAGGCTGAGGCAAGAGAATCGCTTAAGCCCAAGTTTGAGGTTGCTGTGAGCTGTGACACCACAGCACTCTACTGATTTTTGTCCAGAAGGTCATAAGTGATTTTTCAACAAACTGGTGATATCTCAGCAGTTTATATCATTCTAGCAGCCTCTTAAAATGTAGCTGGGGGGAGGGGAGGGCGTGTAAAAGTTATTAAACACTTGGCATTAGCTTGGGGCAGGCCAGAACTGAAATCCCAGCTAAGGACAGTGAGGAGACTGAGCAGGGATGTCTGGCCTGAGTGAAGTCAGTAAATGGCCCATTCACCAAGGAAGGAAATCTGGAAAGAACAGGTTTGGGGAGTGGGGAGAGTTTGCTTTTGGTCATATGGAGTTTGAGGTGCTGATGAAAGGAATCAGGTCAAGAAGGATCTTAAAGCCCATGACAAGGAGTTTATCCAAAGGTTTCTCCTAAGAATGATGGGAGTTAGGGAAAAGAAAAGAAATGACTGCATTTATTTTAGAATGATGATTCTGGTCTCGGCGTGGCCTGGGACAGTGATCTAGGCCTAAGGTGGCAGTGATCTAAAGAAAGGTAGCCACAAGTATTTAGAATAAGTTCCAGATCAAAAAGTTGTATAAACAAGGCTTTGGCAGGAGATTGAATGTAAACACTGAGGAAAGTCAACAATGGTATTTTGCTTTCTGGTTTGAGCATCTGAAAGGATGTTATTGCCTAAGTGAATTCTACTGGATCCAGTTGACAGCAAACAGAAAGAACAACATATAAATGGAAGATAGTAACAACTGATGCTAGCTCTGGGTATGTGTCAGAAAACTCAATTTCATTCTCATGACAATCCTGTAAAAATCACCGTTTTCTTCATTTTTCCACATTAGGAAACCAAAGTAAAGAGAAATAACTCATCTGAGGTCGAATAGCTAGTAAGTGGTGGAGCTAGAATTTGAACCTAGGCTGCCTCGCTAGAGTCTCTGCCTCCCTCATGCTGAGATCACTCTAAATGAAAAGCTCAGTTGGGACTTAGTGCTTGAGAGATCTGCTGGGCAGCTGCATGGAGGTGTCCAGGGGGAAGGAAGATACATGGATCTGAAGCTCATGTGGAAGATTGTGGAGTCTGCATATAGGTGGCCTTACTGGAGAGAGTTAAATAATAGGAGGAAAGAGGCCAGGGGAACCCTGGAAGGCAAACATGATCATTCACTTGTAAGGAGGATGTTTTCCCTTCTTTGAATTGGCATCTGGCTTATAGATCATCAGTTAATTATTGAGTCCATCCCCCTAAATTAAAAAAAAACAAAATTTTTTTAGAGATGGTCTCGCTGTGTTGCCCAGGCTAGCCTTGAACTTCTGGGTACAAGCAATCCTCCCACCTCAGCTTACCAGGCTGCTGGAATTACAGGTGTAAGCCCCACACCTGGCCCATTCCTGCCTCATTTAATCAACCCTGGGTACCTGACAAAGTAGATCCCTAGGACGCACCCTGGATGGTGGTGATCCTTAACCCTCCCCACTCTCTTCTACCATGAGCTTCTACTTGATGTCCAGTTGGCTTCACAAGGCATCTGTTTCTTGGCCAGTCTCATCTCAAGGCCACTCCCTGTCTGTAGTACGCAAGTAACACTTCACTTAGGACTTCTTCAGGTGCCTTTTAAGTTATTTTTTAGCCTTTGTCCCTATATCTCTTACATCTCCAGCTAGATTCTAAATTTCTGAAGGACGAAAAGCATCTATTACATTTTCTTTTGCTTCCCCACCACCCCTAGCCCTTGTTCCCCTGTGTGAGTTAGATGCCCCCACACTCTGTCCCCAGCACTTCACACATAGCACATCAGAGCAGGGGCTGCATTTTGTTCACTGATCCTAGCACAGGGCTACCATAGCCTGTGATTGAGTGACTGAGCCAGTCAGTCCACCAATGGGTCACTCAATCATCTCAGCAAATAATTCTATTTGCCTGCTGGGTTTTTTGAGCCGTGACTAGGGACTGTGGACACCTTTGATGAGTGATTTGAGCATCAAGGTCTTTCACAGTAGTCTCATTTTGGAGGCAGTGAGGGAGAAAGCTAGGGAAGTGGGAATTAGCTGCCCTTTCTTGTCATTCTCTTCATAGCCTATTATTTTGGGAGCTGCCTTCCTGAAATGTTGGTAACAGAAAGGGAGTGAAGAAAGACTCTGTAACGTCTTGATGAGCGACCTGACCATGTGCCTCTGTGCAGGTTCCCCTCAAGTCTGTAGCAGCTGCTCGGTGCCTGTGGCTCAAGTAGCTAAGGCGCCAGCCATATACACCTAAGCTGGCAGGTTCGAATTCAGCCTGGCCCGCCAAACAATGACGGCTGCAACCAAAAAATAGCCGGGCGTTGTGGTGGGTGCCTGTGGTCCCAGCTACTTGGGAGGCAGAGGCAGGAGACTTGCTTGAGCCCAGGAGTTGGAGGTTGCTGTGAGCTGTGATGCAACAGCACTCTACCCAGGGGGACAGCTTGAACCTCAGGACTCAGGTTAATCCTCCCACCTCCAGGAGGGGATGGGGGCGAGAGGCTCTTGGTCTTTCTAGTATCTACTCATTACCAGCAGAGGGAGCCTGAGGATCGCAGGGCCTCTTTCCTTAAATGTGCTAAAGCCTTTGTGGTCTTTCAGACTTGAAGACCCAAGGGTTGTGAACTGCTTGCTTTCTTGCTCAAATTGTCGTTCTTTTGAACTTTGCAATTTGAACTATATGGTAACACTAAGGAAATGTTAAGGCTAAAAATAGAATCAAGTATAGCTACAAAAGAAAAGAATCTTTAGAAAGTAGTGAAAGTGGCCAGGGCCCAGTAGCTCACGCCTATAGGCCTATAATCCTAGCACTCTGGGAGGCTGAGGTGGGTGGATTGCCTGAGTTCACAAGTTTGAGACCAGCCTGAGCAAGAGCAAGACCTCACCTCTAAAACCAACCAGGTGTTGTGGTGGGCACCTGTAATCTCAGCTACTCAGGAGGTTGAGGCAAGAGAATCGCTTGAGCCCAAGAGTTTGAGGTTGCAGTGAGTTATGATGCCATGGCACTCAACCCCAGGGCAACTGAGTGAGACTGTCTCAAAAAAAAAAAAAAAAAAAAGACAAAAAAATTAGAGTGGCTTCTGGGGTGATGGTAATACTGTTTCTTGATGTTCATTATGGCTATAACATAGTATGTGTGCATTTTTCTGTATGTATATTTAAATTTCAATTAAAAGCTTTAAAAACTTAAAAGACAAAAATAAACCTCTATGTGGCAGTGCCCGTAGCTCAGTGGGTAGGGCGCTGGCCACATACACCAAGGCTGGTAGGTTTGAACCCAGCTCGGGCCAGCTAAAATCAATAATGACAACTGCAACAACAACAAAAAATAGCTGGGTGTTGTGGCAGGCGCCTGTAGTCCCAGCTCCTTGGGAGGCTGAGGCGAGAGAATCACTTAAGCCCAAGAGGTGGAGGTTGCTGTGAGCTGTGATGCTGCAGCACTCTACCGAGGGCGACATAATGAGACTCTGTCACAAAACAAACAAAAATCTCTGTGTATGCCACAAAACATGAGATTAGGATGTTATTTTTTTTCCCTTACAATTCCTAACCTTAACTGAGTCATTCCCTTGAGAAAGCCACAAACCCCAGGTAAAGAACTTTCATACTACAGCAGCAGTATAGGAAGAATGAGCAAAGAACATGAATAGATGGTTCACAGAAAAAGAAAGACAGATGACTCCTAACCTTATGAAAAAATGTTCAACTCCAACCTTCAAAGGATAATTGCTTGTTAAAAGTGCACCGAGATACCATTTTGAACCTATCAGATTGGCAGAAATTCCAGAGTTTAATAGCACATTCTGTGGATGGGGGAGGAGGCAGCAGGCTGAAGGGATTGTGAAATGAGCTTCCCTGTTGATTCAGTAATACAGAATTATAAGCCTAGGAATCTACCCTGTAGATGATATTTGTAGTTACATATAGCAGTTTATGCAGAAGATGATCCATGCAACATTGGTTGCAATAGCACAAAATTCCACCTGTAGAGGACTGGGCAAAAAAACTGGTACATACACAGCATGACACATTATGTAACTGGAAAAGAGTTTGAGGAAGTACCTGTGGCTCAGTAAGTAGGGCGCCGGCCCCATATACTGAGGGTGGCGGGTTCAAACCCAGCCCCGGCCAAACTGCAACAGAAAAATAGCCAGGCGTTGAGGCAGGCAACTCTAGTCCCAGCTACTTGGGAGGCTGAGGCAGGAGAATCACCTAAGCCCAAGGAGTTGGAGGTTGCTGTGAGCTGTGACGCCACGGCACTCTATCGAGGGTTAATAAAGTGAAGCTCTGTCTGAAAAAAAAAAAGTCTGAGGAAGCTCTGGCTGCACTGAGGAAAGATCTATAGGGTATATTACATAACAAGTGAAGAAAGCAAGATATGCAGCTAGGAATATGTATTTGTTTTGCTTATGTGTGCGTAAAGAAACACTAACAAGAGAAGACAAGAAACCTAGAAAAGTGTTTTTCAGAAAAATAGTGGGCAGGAAGGAGGGGCCGGGCTTCTTAATTTGTATCATGTGTTCTGATTTTCGAATCATACCAACGTATTACCTGTGCAAAACAAAAAAACCTAAAGAGCCCCTGCCCTAAAGCATTTAAGGCATTCATAAATTGAGTTAAGCCTTTAAGCATTCATAAGTTACGCCATCTGCCCAACTGCAGAATCCCTGGGTTTGGATTTGGGGGTTGATTTATCTGTGTCTTGGTGAGAGTCTTCAGCATATTCTACATTTGAACTATTGGATCAGAGTTTTCTGGCTCAGCCTAGGAAAGAATTCTTGCCTTGCCCTATTTGTATTCTAAACAAGTCTTCCCCCTCAATTGTTAACACTCGACTATCATTTTTCAAATGTTATTTGATAGTATTTCTTCTCTCCTTATACATTCATGAGCATCTAATTCTGCCAGAGGGTGAAAGAAAAGGTTTCACCATAGAAGTGTCCCCAGAACCCATTAGATAGGAGGTCTGACTCTGCGTCCTGTTCTTTGCCTGTCTCTATATCCCTTCTTTCCTTCTTCCTCTTCTAAGACCAGCCCCTATCACACTGGTTCTCATCTCCACTACCTTATCAGGAAACTCACAGTGTGTTCTGAACATCAGATATACATTGTATCTTCTCCCATATTTAAAAAAAGAAAACAAACAAAAACAAAAACTGGAAACCCAAGCAAAGCCCCTTCTACCCAGATTTCCCCTAAAGCTCCTTTTTCTCTTTTCTCTCTGTTAGAGCCACAGTCAGTGTGTCTATAGGGTGTTCCAGAAGTCTCCATACATAGAAAAATTAACAGACTTGTATTTTATATTTTTAATACTTTTTATACTTTCAGATACCCTAAAAGAATGCCACTGTCAAAAGAAGAGCGTACTGAAATAATCCTCATGGCTGGATCAGGCAGCTGTCGCAAGGTTGCAATGGACTTTAACAGGAAACATGGCAAACACATCACACATGACACTGTGGCCAAACTCATTGAGAAGTTCAAGAAAACTGGAAGTGTCGCGGATCAACAGAGAAGTGGACGTCCACGGACATCCACTGACAAAGACACAGCTGTCCAGGTCCTGGCAGCATTTGCAAGGAGTCCGCAAAAAAGCATTCGCCAGTTATCTGCAGAAACCGGTGTCAGCAGGTCGAGTATCCAGCGCATTATGAAAAACGAAAAACAGCATCTGTACAAGATGCAAATGTTACGCCATCTTAGTGAAGATGGCCCAGATAAGAGGCTTGAATTTTATGAATGGGCTCTAAACAAACCAGACAAAGATGTAAACGTCACAGCTGAGATCCTCTTTACTGAGGAAGCCAATTTTTAGGCCAGCAGAGAAGTCAGTCCCCAAACCTGCATTACTGGAATAATAGCAACCCAAACTGGATGAGTCCATCAAAAATGCGAGGTGCTACAAAAGTGATGGTGTGAGGCAGGATATGGGGCAACAGAACTGTTGGACCTGTTTCCTTTGACACACATCTTACTGCCGACCTTTCCTTAAACATGCCCCAGGACAACATACTGCTGTCTCCCTTAAATGAAGATGGAGAGTGTCCGTCTTATTTGCAGCACAATAGGGCACCACCTCATTATGATACCCCGTGTCAGTGCACTGCAGTGGTGGGATCAGCAGGTTCCACTGTCATGGACAGGTCGCCGCAGCCCCGTGGAGTAACCACTTAACAGTGTGATTTTCAAGGAAAAGATTAGAAACATGGATCATGTGAACAAGGAATGCATTCGAAATGCAGATGCTTGCCTAACAACAGATAGTCTTGGAACGTGTTCGCCATGAGTGGGAGAGAAGATTGCATGTGTTTGCAAAAAGAATGGCCAACACGGAGAGAATATTTTGTAAATACAGCAGAACCTCCATAGTTGAACACCTCCCTAGATTGACCCCGTCCTTAAGGTGACCTAATTTTCATAGATGGGACATGCACCACATGTACGTATCAAGATGTTGACCAGTTTGTTGCAGTCCCTTTGGTGGTCAACTACCAGAGGCTCTACAGTATTTTGTAATGAGTATTTTGTAAATAAAGGCACATTTAGCTACAATTTCCTGTTTTCCCTATGTAAGATGACTTTTATCCTGGTTTTTCTCCTGTACTTCTTTCCCTCTCTCCCTCTCTCTTCAGCCTCTTGCAGCCAGATTCCCATTCCACTGAAACATATCTTACCAAGGTCGTGAATAATCTTTGCTGAATCCAGTGGCCCCATCTCATTCTTACATCTCTTGAGTTCTGAGCACTGCCTGGCACAGAACACAGCCTCCTCCTTCCCTGACTCTCCTCCTGGCCTTCGCAGCCACTGATGTGGGGAATGTTGTTCTCTAGGACTCTCCTTGTCTTTTTCTGAGAACGCTTCCCTCACCCATCTGCTGATCCTCAGGGGCCATACTTTGGCTCTTTTCTCATCTCACACTCACTTCCTGGATGATCCTGGTCAAAAGAATATAGAAAGCAATCCTGACTTGCTCTGATTTGGCTTCCGTGGCAGGGTCACATTCCTACTGAGTTGCAAAAACAATGCACCTTCCCTCTCTCTTTCCGCCAGTCACGTTTTCCTCTCAAACTTCCATTCTCCCAAGTGTGGAGGGTGTTTCTGTCTCTTCTGGTTTCCATCACTCAGTTTTACGTACATGCTCAGTATATCAGGGTGTCTCCTCCTCTGTCCACTTCCATTCCCTTGGAGTGCCTCTGGGTATCGGGTAGGGGTGAGCTTTCTCAAGTCTCTCAATGGCTCTCTGCCCTTTACTGGTCTTCTCTGCCATATGGCCACTCTGAGCTTGTCCCCCAGGACTATGATAGAACCCACCAATATGGGGATAGCCTGATTTAGTTTCTGAGCAGTGCACTAACCTGCTTATAATCATGAACATAGTGTCCGTAGTTGTGAGGTCTTCATGTGCCATGTCCCTCAACTTGTCACCTGGCCTCTCTTTGTCGGCCTTACTTCGCATATTACTGAGGCATGTGAACCTTTCCAGATCACCTACATGGCACCCCCAGATCAAGGGGAAATAGGGAGCTGCTGTTGCCCAGCACACAATCTCCCAGGGCTCCTTTACAGTTCAGAGGCAGCTGTGGCATGGTCACTGAGAGAACAGCGCACTCTTTGGGCTGTGCTTGGTGAAATGGGACATCGGTGTTCCCTAGACCCATCTAGGTGCTAGCACCACACAGGGGATTTGACCTTAGAGAAGGGTGGGCCAGAACACTTGCATCTAAACTCTTGTCCTGCCTTTTCTCCTTGGTAGCAACAGTAGGCCTTTGTCCCTGCTTGTGGTTTGGAAATTTGTCTTTAACCTTGGTCTATGTTGTATCCACACTGCAGCTTAGAGAAAATCTATCGTCTCATGCCCAGGTCCTCTTGACCTGCTAAAGGGAGATTTAGAAATTAGAAAAAAGCTTTCTACTGTGGACTCCAGAAAAATTGAATTTAAAACTCCAAGCTGATCAAATGGTGGGGAGCTGCAGGCTAATTAGGAATTATCAGCAACAAACATGCATTGGTTTATATCTCAAATCTCCTTTTCACCTACCATGGCAGATGTGCCCACTTCGTGGATGGCAGGGTACTTTGATTGTCTCACCAAGACTTTATGGAAAGCTTGGGGAACCCATCCTTCTCCAAGGGGAGAAATGGGTCGCTATTACTCCAGGGGGTAGAGGGGAAGGTGGTGTCTTTCACAGCGTCAGGCAGTGTCTGCTTGTAGTTCACACATCAGTGTCTCTAGCTCATGTGTCTCCTCAACGCCACACCTCTGTGTCCTGTAGTGTCCACTGTGCTACTAGTCATCCAAGTGAATGTCCCTCAAAAGCCTAGTGAAATATGATGAGTTTCATCTTGAGCTGCTTGTCTTTCCCTCTAAGCCTTGTCCTCTGGCCTTTCCTGGTCCCTTTGAATTTTATTGGATGACATTAAGTTTGATTGACCACCTCCCAGCTGTCTGGCACTTAGGTTTTCAATACTGCCCCCTTGTATTTTGGAAGTATTTTAATGTGTTGATATTTTCATAATATCCAATTTTAACAAAAGAAAAATATGTCTCTGCAGAAAATTTAGAAAACATAAGATTACCAGCCTTTTGGTCCCAGCACTCAAGGACGTCCGCCACAGCATCTTATCAATGTTACAGGAGGCCTAAGAGCCACAAGAGCTCTGCTAGCACCCCTGTCTCCCCATGCCCACCCTCTTGTGTGGCCTTGGCCGCACAACCCACGCCACTCCTCTGAATAATGGGAATAACAAATAAGGCCTATCTCGGAGGACTTGGAGAGACTGAAATGGATGATGTGATGGAACCCTGCCTGGCTCAGAGCAGCCAATAAATGTTAGCTACTGCTGTTACTATTATTACTCTTAATATCAGCATTACTATTTTAAATGTGTATATTATAAATGCTGATAAACTAGGTTTTATATCTTGCCTTTTTTAGTTACTGTTATGAGCATTTTTCATGTCAAAATATCCCTTCAACGTGACTTTTGTGACTGTATAATCCATCGTTTAAATATATTTTGGGACAGTTAGTGAATAACTCTGAGCTGAACCCCTTTGTGTGAATGTATACATATGGAAATGTGTGAATGTGTGTGTATGTGTATCTACATCTGACCATGAGTCTGTTTATTTTTTAGAACAGAATTTTACACCTGGTACTCCTTTGTGAGAAGTGTGAACTTTTTAAAGCCTCCGGTAACACATAAATTGCTTACAAGGGAGGTGATCACACACAGTCAGCAGTGCATGTAATGGGGCCCGCCTGGCCACACCCTGTTTGGTAGTGAGTGGGGCTATTTTAAGGTAGCCTTTGTTGACACTATTTCTTTACAAGTGGGTTTTATTACATTCCCCTGGGATAATCAGAGTTGGTCCCATGGCCAAGGCACTTCCTCCTACGTTACTTTTTTAAAAGTCAAGTTAACCGAGCAGTTCCATAAATCCTGGTGGAGATATTAACCTGTTTCCTGCCTGGTCTGTTTTCCTGTGTGTGGAAATAAATCTGCAGTGCTGGTAATTCATTAGTTTTTCTTATTTCCCTGTTGCCTCTGCACTGAGATGTTTATCATTGTGTTCTCTCTCCCTGGTGACAGCACAGGTCCCAAAGCCCAATAATAGGTTCTAAAGAAATCTGACTTGGCTTAGGTGGACTGACCCATTTTGGTTTGGTTTGGTTTTTGTTTGGCTAGACTGATTGATTATCTCAGCTCTGTGTGTGGCCTTCCCAACTTCCATGCCAACACATGTGCCTGTTACAACTTTATACTTCCATTCCATGTACTGTCCCTTGCAATTACCCAACTAATGTTGTTATAAACTTCCAGAACGTGAGCTAGAGCTTTAGTCTGTTAAACTATCATTGTTAAGTGCTTTATAATTCACAAGATGCATTCAGACGTGATTCCTTTGATCCTCAAATAATTCTAGAGTGAGGGACATTTATCTCCATTTCACAGATGGGGCCCAGAAAAGTGAAGCTGCTTTATGAGTTGGTGAGTGACAGAGACAGATGTGCTTTCTAGAAAATGTTGCCTTCAGAAAAGGAGAGCCAGAGGATGAAAATTATTTTAGAGAGATGAATACCAGCTGTGTTTGAAGGACTAAGAGCCGAAGAGGCGTTGAAGGAGTCGAGGCCAAGCTTGAACAGATGTGATGTTAGCGCCATGGTTCTCAGAGCCCCTTGCAGTACCTGCTGCTGTTACTGGAGGGGTTGCGGCTGAAGAAACAGCCTGGGACTCCGGAAATCTGGGTTCCCCATAGATCTCTCCAAGGTCACCACTTCTCTGGGCCCTTAGGCAAGCCACCGTACTTCGGAGTCTGTTTCCCCATTTGCAAAATAGAAATAACTATCTCTCCTTAACAACTTAGAAGCATTGCTTCAAGGCTCTGATAAGGCAGTGCATATATGGATGACGCTGCCTTGGGGACTTTATAGTGGAGCCCAAGGTGCCCCGTAAGCTGGGTTTGCTTACTCCAGGGAATGGGAGAGCAGGACTCCAATGGTGGTTCTTTTTTTCCTTTCTTCCTTTCCTGCTTCATATTTTTATCTTTATTATTTTACAATGTCCTTGTAAGATAACACAAGTGATGCTGGAATATTTTAAGTAGAAACAAAAAATTCCATGTGCTCCTCCGTGCCCTTGTGTCCTACTCAGCAGAAAGACAGCTGTTTGTGGGTTAGCAGACTTCTTTCTAGGCTTTAACTAAATAATCCATACATAGTTCTATGTATGGATTTTCATAATACACATAGACATATACACTTGTTCATATAATTTGGTTTTTTTAATTTTATAAAATGTCCTCCACATTGTCCGTACCTTGCCTTTTCCCCTTAATAATTTTATCTTGAAGACTTTGCTACATCAGAGCTCAAATTCTTTTCTAGAAAGGCGGACATAGAAATTCTTTTCACTCAGGAATGGCAACCCACGCCTGTAATCCCAGCAGTTAGAGAGGCCAAAGTGGGAGGATTACTGAGGCCAGGAGTTTGAGACCAACCTGGGCAGCTTTGCAAGACCTTATCTCCAAAAACTTTTTTAAAAAATTAGCCAGGCATGCTGGTGTCCACCCAGGAGTTCAAGGTTATAAGGAGCTGTGAACATGCCGCTCCACACTAGCCTGAAAACATAGTAAAACTGTCTACAGAATTTTAAAAATAAAAAATTATATCTGGGCATTTTATATTTAACATATTATTTAATTTGGATCATTTCCTATTTTAAAAATATTACCAATGTTGCTGCATTAAACTGCTTGTCAAGGGCAGCGCCTATGACTCAAAAAGTAGGGTGCTGGCCCCATATGCCAGAGGTGGCAGGTTCAAACCCAGCCCCAGCCAAAAAAAAAAACCAAAACAAACAAAACTGCTTGTCAAATAAGTTTGTACTCCCTGAGTACAGGGGTGGACACAGGGAGTCCCAGATACTCAGGAGGATAAGGCAGGAGGATTGCTTGAGTGGCACAGGAGTTTGAGTCCAAGCTAGACAACACCATGAGACTATCTTTTAATAAATATGTCCATCAAAAAAAAAAAAGGCTCGGCGCCTGT